AAATGGCCGTCTCTGAACCAGGAAGCCAGCATCTGCCAGTGCCTTGATCTAAGAATTTCCAGTCTCCAGAACTGTGAGAAATAAATGTTTAAGCTACCCGGCCTGTGGTACTTTGCTATGGTAGCCTAAGCAGATTAAGACAGCTAAGGTCTACTGTTTGTAGACCTTGTGAATTTCTATAGGTTTTGACAATGCATAGTATGTGCCCACCATCATACAGAATGGTTTTATCACCCCAGTACCCCGGGCTTCACTTACTCATCACTCCTGCCCATCCCACTGACAACCACTAATCTTTTTAATATCTTTATGCTTTTGCCTTTCCCGGGTCATATAATTGTAATCATACAGTAGGTTCAGGCTGGCTTTTTTTTCACTCAGCAATATGCATTTAATGTTCCTCCATGTCTTTCCATGGCTCTCAAGCTCATGTTATTTCAGTGCTGAATAATATTCCACTGTTTGGATGTACCAGATTTTGTTTACCTATGTACCTGCTGAATGACAGTTTCGTTGGTTCCAATTTTTAGCGATTATGAACAGAGATGCTACAAACATTCACACACAGGATTTTATGTGCCTATCTTTTCAAGTCAATTGGGTAAAGACCCAGGAGACCAACTGTTGGATTACATAGTGAGATTATGTTTAGCTTTGTAAGAAACTATCAGTCTTCCAAAGTAGATGTGCCATTTTGCATTTCTACCAGCAACTGAATAAGAGTTCTTGTTGCTCCACATCCTTGTCAGTACTTGGGACTGTCAGTTTCTTGGACTTTAGCCATTCTAACAGGTATATAGTGGTATCTCGCTTTAACTTGAAGTTTTCTAATGACAAGGGTTGTTAAGGATCTTTGTGAAAAAAAAAATCAATTGGCCAATATGATGGGCAGAGGAATGTTCCTCTTCTAGAGGGTCATCCTAATTCCTGATATCTAGGAATATATGTTACATGTCAAAGGAAAATTAAGATTGCATACAGAATTAAGGTTGCTAAACAGCTGGCTCTAAGATAGGGAAATAATCCTGCATTATATGGGTGAGCCCCAAGTAATCATTAGGGTCATAAAATGTGACAGAGAGTAGACTGTGGAATAAGTCAGAGTGACATGATGTGAGAAACCCTCAATTCATCCTTGTTTGAAGATGGAGATGGGGGCCGTGAGCTGAACAATGCAGGAGCCTCTATGAGAAAAAAGCGAGGAAATGTATCCTGCCCCAGAGCCAACAGAAAGGCTTTCAAATATGTAATTCTGTAGGCCTATATGTCATCAAAATCATAAAAATAAGCTCTTTAAAATGCATCATGTCACTGTGGAGCCCAGAAGCTGTTTCTTAATTCTTATTTCCTTAGTGAACCATACTCTCCCTATTCAAAGACACTTAGAATTTGATACTTTTACTAAAAAGAATCACATAACACACTCAACTGCAGCGAACTACACTGTAATAAAGTCTGCAGTAGTGAAGTTTTCCTGTACCTTAACCAGTTTGTATAAGATTGTTGCTATTAAAAAATCAATCTTTAAATAAATATCATGCATAATCATGCTTTCCCATATGGCACAATCTCAGGAGAGAGGTATTACCTCTACTTCTAGGACAGCGAAGAACCTGGACTTCGGAGCCTAGTGCATTCTGGTTCAAACCCAGTTCACTTACAAGTCTGATGACTTTGAGAGCTACTACCTTGAACCTTGACTCCTTCTCTGTATAAAAGGATATCACCTATCTTGCAGCTAGTGAAAAAAGTAAATACATATTGTAGTAGTTTGAAAAAAATTTCTCTAAATCAGGAGTCAGCAAACCTCTTCTGTAAATACTTTATGACAGCAAATGCTTTATGCTTTGTAGACCACACAGTCTCTGTCGAAACTACTCCACTCTGCCCCTGCAGCGCAAAAGCAGCCAGGCGACATAAGCAGGGCTGATAAACTCCACCGGAAAGGCTCCGGGATGACCCGCGGGTCAGTGTGCCGGTAGGGGTCCTGGCACACTGTGCCCGACACCTGACAGCTCCTCCGATCGTTACCCGGCTTCTCCCTATCACGGCCAACAAATACAGTCTTCCATTGCTCCTGCAACTCATTCGCCATCCTATCCTTCCCAACTTTCAAATTATTCAAAATCACCTAAAACGCTGCTGCCAAAGCTTCTGGGGTCACTCTACTCCCAATATCCAAATAATTGATCCATTGTCTTCCGCACTGTTATCGGACCACAGGTGTTAAAGTGGACAGGAGCTCTATGACTAATTGCTCGGTTCAATACCTACGTGCAAATTCCCTCTAGGACCTACCCCATGAACGGCCGTCCATCCAACACATCTGAATGCCTCCAACGACAAAAAACCCACCCTATTTCTAAGTGCCTTTTCTGTTGTCAGGTGGCTTGGAGTTTCTCTGAAAGCTCTTTATTGTTAGCTTAAGTTCAAATGGTTGAACTCCTTACTGTGGCTCATGGGTTAAAAGGTTTTGAGAATCACTGTTCCAGACCACACCATCTGTCACAGGGACAGAACACTGACTCTCCTCTTATGCTCTATAAAAATAAATTGTACTTTAGAAAAAAAAAACTTTTGTTCTTCAAAAGACACCATCAAAAAAGTAAAACAAAAATAGAAGAAAAACAGCCCTGACCAGTGTGGCTCAGTCCGCTGGAGCACCATCCGGCAACCAAAAGGCCGTGGGACACCCGGTCAGCGTGCATATGTATAAAGGTAGGTGATTCCTGGCCCAGGGGCGTGAAACCTCCGGTCTGGACACGTGCGATACTGGGCCGGGCACCGATCCCCGGTCCAGGCACGTACGGAGCAAAATGCTTCTCCCTCACTTGTTTCTCTCCCCCCTCCTCTCTCTAAAAGCAATGGAAAAAAAACGTCCTTGGATAAGGGTTAAAAATAAATCAAAAGACAACCCATAGAATGAGAGAAAATATTAGCGCACCATGTATTTGATTTTTTAAAAAAGTATACATTATCAGAACTATAAAATTCTTGCAACTCAATAATAAAAAAAACAAGCAAACCAGCTGAAAAGGGGCAAAGGATCTGCCCCTTCTCTCCAAAAAAAAAGATTGTAAATGGCCAATAAGCACATGCAAAATGCTCAATGCCATTAGTCATTAAGGAAAACCAAGTCAAAACCACAGTGAGATACCACTTCATACCCCCTAGGATGACAAAATTAGAAAAAAGCCCTGGCTGTGTGGCTCAGTGGTTGAGCGCTGGCTGTGAATCAAGAGGTTGCTTGTTCAATTCCCAGTCGGGGCACATGCCTGGGTTGCAGGCCAGGTCCCCAGTAGCGGGCATGGGAGAGGCAACCACACATTGATGTTTCTCTCCCTCTTTCTCCCTCCCTTCCCCTCTGTCTAAAAATATATAAATACAATCTTAAAAAAAAGAAAAGAGAGATGGTAACAAATGTTAAGCAGAATGTAGAAAAAGTAGAACCCTCGTTGCCGGTGGGATCAGAAAACGGGAAGGAGTGCGGCAGATCATCGCTGTTGACGTGACCCAGCAATTCCACTCCTCGGAACTGAAATCCACGCAAAAGCCTGTAAACGAGTGGTCAGAGCAGCAATATTCTCAGTAGCCAAGAGTGGGAACAACCAAATGCCCATCAACTGGTAAATGGATAAATAAAATGTAAAAAAAATCCATACGGTGGAATGTCTGTCAGCTATAAAATGGAGTGGAGGACTGAGGGCACAGGCTACGACACGGTGAACAGTGAAAACATTAGGCTAAATGAAAGAAGTTAGACCCAAAAGGCCACATAGTGTCTGATTGATTCCATTTATACGAAATGCCCCAAGAGTCAAACCCATCGAGACTGAAAGTAGACTCGTGGTAGCCCAGGGCTGGAAGGTGGGAAAGTGGGGAGTAACCACTAATGGGCTCGGGATTTCTCTTTAAGGTAATGAAAATGTTCTAAAATTAGATTGTGGTGATGGTTGCACAACTGTGAATACACTAGACACCACTGAATTTATACACAAAAGGGGTGAATTCTATGATATGTGGATTATATTTTAATAAAACTATTACAGAAAAATTAAAAACCCTTGACGGCCCTCCTTTGCCGAAACAGTTTTGTGGAACATGCAAGGTCCTTCAAATTCCTCATCACTTATTTCCGGCTAAACTTTCAACCCTCCTCCTCTGCTGTTGCCCGCCTTGCACCACTGTCTGCATCCACCCTGCACACACCGTGTAGGCTTCATACACACTGATCTTACTGCCGAAATGTCACAGCAGCTCTTTCGTTTCTACTGAGCTCCTATATCCTTCAGGACCAAATGCTGTTTCCTCCAAAAAATCGGTTCTTCCTCATTCAGGCAAAGCTGATCACCCCTCCGGGCTGTGAACACTGGCTTACGCATCTGCCCCTGCTAATGGACTCCAAGTTCCCTGAGTTTACCAGAGAGTATCATCTTCAGCCCCAGGACCTAACGCTTCTTAGCACTTAGTAAATGTTTATTGAACAAATGAATGACAAACCGCTCCCTGACTACCGGCTAGAAACAGTGCTGTTTCTTCTCCAACTAGTTTAATTGGTAAAATCCATACAAATATAACTTGAGTGCTGGCCTTTGGAGACCAATAAAATGAAATAAAAATACAAACTTGAGGCCAACACTGAGACTTAAGAAAAATTACCATTAAGTAACATTTCATGGAGGTTCATAGTTCAGATACTTATCATTGTTGACTGAACCCACTTACTCAAGTCAATACTCTTTTATTCGACATATTAAATGTGTTGTTTAACTCTGGTAACCACAGCTGCGACTTAGTTAACGATCTCAATAAATCCTACTTAAATCAGAGACAGGAAAAAATTATGCAAATGAATTCTTATCTGTTTTTCTGCCCAAGGCATATTTGATAACAGATAAAATATACTTCAAATAGTCTCTACTTGATAGTCAGAAAGCCATTTGAGGTTTTATTTGAATCAAAATCAAATACAAAGACAAGCTAAGAAGCCTGCTGCAGTCACAAATGGTTTTATTTCAGAAAGAAATTACACATTAAAAGGAGACGTAGTTAAAAGCCTACATCACATGGAAGTGAATCTCGTAAAGTCAACAGTTATTAATATACAGAGCCATATGATTAAAAAAGACAGAACAGATAATGACAGATGGGCTGGCCTTAGATTCGTCTGCAAAATAGTATCTTTTGTTTCAAAACAAAAATACATCGGTCTTTAAGACGGCTCTTCAGAAACGAGCTTGCCGTTCCAGTGGACTCTGAAAATGGAACCAACCACCCAGTCTCTGTGTGACACCCACACCCACCCAGCAGCATGGACACCGCCCACCGGTCACACCTTGCAGCTAGACAGGATGTCTTCCACTAATCTCTTGTAAACCCAGGCATCCCCCTTTAGCCGCTGCCTCCTGATACCCACCACATCGGGTTTTTGAAGTTGGCATACTTCCAGTTCAAACTGCATTGTCACTTTGCCAAAATCTGACTGTGTTTGACACTTCAGTGTATAGCTGTGAAAAAACAAGATAAGAAGCCATTCAGTAGGAGAACCATGAATATTCTGTATCATATAAGGGGTTTCTAAGCCTCTAGGAGGCCCGTGGAGAAAATAAACCATTATTTCCTATTGAGCAATATATTACTGCTTACACTTTCCAAATGACCTAGCTGTGCGTTAGTGATGGAGGAGGACTGGTGTTTTCCCAGAAGCTGAACTAGGATTTTAGGAAAGAATAAAGATGAAAAGGCTTTACCAGAATCCTCCCTTGCTCCAAAGAAAAGCCCTCCTTTCATAGCTATACACGCTATTCACACTCAAGAAGGCTTCTGGCACCTCTCATGCAACTCTCGGCAGTGTAATCCGTGACCATTAGGCCATTTCCACAACGTTCACAACAAAGGAAAGCTCAGGGAAGATTAAGAATATTTTTTTTGTATGCATCTCATCAGAAACTTCTGTCTTTCACATAAATAAAGCTGCAGACACCAACCTGTCAGGAGGACATATGTTTTTCAGGTTTCTCCAATAGTAATAAGAAGTTATGATCATTGCAACGCTTCAAGCCAGAGTTATAAAAGAAAACCCAAGGAGATGGTACACTCACAAGGTTGAAACATGCAGCAATTTAATTAGAACTGTCACGTTAACCACTCTGATAATGAGAAGGCCCAGACTAAGGCCCTGGCTGGTGAGGCTCAGTGAATGGAGTGCCAGCTGCAAACCAAAGTGTTGCTGGTTTGATTCCCAGTCAGGGCACATGCCTGGGTTGCGGGCAAGGTCCCCAGTAGGGGGCACACTAGAGGCAACCACACACACACTGATGTTTCATTGCCCCTCTTTCTCCCTCCCCTCCCCCTCTCTCTAAAAACAAATAAATTAAATCTTAAAAAAAAGAAAGGCCCAGACTCAATGAAGACTTAAACACATCTTAAGAAATAGGTATGTTCCCGAAAGCTGCATAAATTGAATTCATGTAAATCAGTTTTTAAATTAATTTACATTGTATTTTAGTTTTATTGAATTGTCTTACTGATCTTTGATAAATACAAACAATATCCAGCCGGATTAATGTGTAATTTCAGTTCCCTAAATATTTAGGGACACAGGGTTAGGCACTGTTTCACGGAAGTATGATGATATTACTTGTATCTGTTATGCATCATGAGGTTTCACAAAAGATCATTCTTTTTCTTACCAACTTAGTTATGTGTTTTGGTGCCCGGTGTCTTAAAAATAAGCAATCAGTATGAACAGTGCATAAAGGAGTACCCTGTACTGATGGCTCCTGATGGAAAGAGAAAGTACAGAGTGACTTAGTTATATGGAGAAAAGGTAATTCTTCTGCATTAGAAAAGAACAATAATGATCTGCAACTGAGACTGGTAATATCTAATGAAAATTAGATATAGAATAATAGCACTGGAAAACAAAAATAGAGGAGATAAAAAGAAAAGGATCAAGGCAAAGACTTTCCGGGTGATGAAGAAATGAGAACACATTACTGGTTAACAGCCAGTTGGTGAGCTGATAGAGGTCCCATGACAGAGACTTGGCGAGGGGTCTGAACCCCTGGCTAAACCTGAAGAGTGAAGAGAAGGTCAGAAGGAGTTAGATGTGTCCTAATGACGCCTAAGAGAGAAAGACGAGGTTCCCGTAAGGAGTGCCTGCCAGCACGTACAGAGAGTGAAAAGTAAAATCACTTTTGCAAAAGATTGTTTCTTAAAACTGTAACTCTAGTTTGACTATTCTATTTTTTTAATTGATTATGCTGTTACAGTTGTTCTATTCCCCCCTTCATTCCCCTCCACCCTACCCCCCAGCCCCACCATTACTCCCCCTTTAGTTTATGACCATGTGTCTCAAGTCCTTTAGATTTTATATTTCCCATGCTATTCTTGACCCCCCATCTATTTTTCTATCTACTGTCTATGCTACTTATTTTCTGTAACTTCTCCCCCCATCTCCTCCTCCCACTCCCCTGTTGCTAACCCTCCTTCAGATCTTCATTTCTACGTTTCCACTCCTGATCTAGCTGTCCTTTTAGTTTGCTTTCGTTTTAGGTGTGGTTGTTAATAACTGTGAGTTTGTTGTCCTTTCACTGTTCATGTTTCTTTAACTTCTTTTTCTTAGATAAGTCCCTTTAACATTTCATATAATAAGGGCTTGGTGATGATGAACTCCTTGAATTTGATCTTATCCGAGAAGCACCTTATCTGTCCTTCCATTCTAAATGAAAGTTTTGCTGGATAGAGCAATCTTGGTTGTAGGTCTTTGGATTTCATGACTTGGAATACCTCTTTCCAGCCCCTTCTTGCCTGTAAGGTCTCTTTTGAGAAATCTGCTGACAGTCTGATGGGGACTCCTTTGTAGGTGACTGTCCCCTTAGCTCTTGCTGCTTCTAGGATTCTCGCCTTCATTTTAATTTTGGCTAATGTAATTATGATGTGCCTTGGTGTGTTCCTTCTTGGGTCCAACTTCTTTGGGACTCTCTGAGCTTCCTGGATTTCCTGGAAGTCTATTTCCTTTGCCAGATTGGGGAAATTCTCCTTTATTATTTGTGCAAATAAGTTTTCCACTGGTGGCTGTGCCTTTCCCCCTTCTGGTACCCCTATAATTCGGATGTTGGAGCGTTTAAAGATGTCCTGGAGGTTCCTAAGACTCTCCTCATTTCTTTGAATTCTTGCTTCCTGACTCTTTTCTGTTTGGCCATTATTTGCTTTCTTCTGGTCCACTCCATCGATTTGAGTCCCAGTTTCCTTTTCATCGCTATTGGTTTCCTGTGCAATTCCATTCATTTCAATTAGTTTCGCCTTCATATGTTTCTCTAATTTGTGGCTATAATCAACCAGTTCTGTGAGGATCCTGATGACCAGTGTTTTAAACTGTGCGTCTGAGAGTTTTGCTATTCCTTCATCGCTTAGATCTATGGGCTCTGAGGCTTTGAGAACTTGTGGCATTTTTGGTCTGTTCTGGCCCTTTAAGTGTGAGAAGCGGTGCCTTGGACTCCCAGGTCGCTGGGTTATGACGCTGTATGTGGGGGCGTGGTCAGAGCGGGGAAATGGCGGCGCCCTCTACTGCCGCTTGCCGAGGGGACGCCGGCCCGGTCCAACCGCCCACTCCCTCGCCTGTCCGCTCGCACGTGGCACCGCTTCCCTGCTGTCTCCTCCGCAGTCGCTCACCTGGTGGCTTGCTCACTAGGTCCAACCCTGCGCCTGGATTCCATGTCTGGATTCCGCGCCTGAGTCCGTCTGACCGAGTCCTCCTGTGCAACCCCTCACCAGCCGCTGGTTTCGCCCCTTACCGGTCAGGCTGAAGAATTTGTTAACGGACTTCCGAAAAGTTCAATTTTCCGTGTTCTGGCTGTGTTTTCTGTTGCTAATATTTAGTTGTCCCTAAACTTGGTTGTGTGAGAAGGCACGGCACATCCACCTATACCTCCATCTTGGCGGAAGTCCTGACTATTCTATTTTTATTTACATGGTTTTGTTCAATCTATTAGTGGCTTTTAGCTGTGTTAATAATAAAGTTTTAAAGAGACGTAACTGACTGGAAAGGCATGGAAGTAGGAACCTATCAGGTGACCAGAGAGGTCGGGCTGTTCGGACCGCGAGACCACAACCTCGGAGGCTCTGAGGGCAGTTCACTCAACAGTGGGTGGGGGCGGGGCTTCGGGGAGATGACTTCCCACGGTGCTGAAAACACGGTGCGGTAGAAACAGTGAGTCGTAAAGACAGGGAGTCTCTAGGAGAACCTTGATTTGTTTGGGGTGCCACAGAAAGTAGGGCTACAACTTATAAATATTATTGTGAAGTAGAACATCAAAGAAAAATAAGATGTAAAAGGAAACTGGAAGAAGTTCAGATTTTCTCATTTTGAGAAGTCTAACTTTCAGAGTGGTGACAATACGGGCACTTAAAAAATGTACATAACTCATGTAAAACAAAAGAGAATAAGTTATGAACGATGGCACTACCAGAAAAACTTTTTGGAATGATGTGTGAAAAATATATATATTCTTTTAAAGGGGAGAAAAGAATCCTGTGCTTTCTTAAATTTCAAAGAATAGCAAGCGATAAATCCAACAGTCTCTCAGTGTGCTTCTTACCCCTTCTGCACAAAGTCCACGTGCTTCTTTGGAAGAACAGACATTATTTCATTCAAGAGTTGATCTGGATTCACTAATTTGGTTGTAGTCACATTATAGTGAAGCTTAAAAGAGAAAAAGGAGGGGTGAGAAGTAAATCTTTACATCAATACAAATACCACTCTAACTGATTCAGAGACCCCAAACTCCTCATTATAGTACCATTTCAAACAAAAATATTTCAGAAAAAATACTGAAAGAATTCACAAACCACTCTTGGTAAGTTCGATTAAGATGACACTGGGAAGGCTTGGAGAAATCATGTTTATTAGGAACTGAATCCATGTTGAGAACCACCCTGCCTGGTTTCAGGAGCTGTAACCACACACACACACACACACACACACACACACACACACATACACGGCTAAGGCTGAGTGAGCAACCTTCAGAGCATAAGCCACTAAAGAGACAAAGCTTAGCTCCCTGGCAGGAGCACCGCGTCTGCTCCTTTTACTTCATCCATAACTGGCCCCCAACACTTGATCAGTTAGCCAATGACAGGTAAGATTCCCCAAGGGGGGAACAACCTAAGACGGGCACGATCACGGGAGGTCCCTGGGAAGGACTTGGGGGACTACAGCAAAAGGAGGTGATGGACCCTCGCCCTTTGGCTATAACATAGCCTGAGTCCTCATTCTATCCAAAACAAGTCTCCTAATCTCTTGGCTGCCTTACTACCCCTGACTGATTTAAGCCTGAAACAATGACAGAGGGTGGTGTGGCCCTATGCTGAAAAGGGCAGGTTCCCTAGGACAATCAGGCCTGAGAAAAAATATGTAAAATCCTATGAAACCTGTTTTGTTTAGAATGCTCTCAATTAGATAAGGATCCAAGCAAGAAGTGAATTTGTTCCTCAAAGTTTTGTAGCTCTTTAGCTATCTGATCCTGACTCAAAATAGGCCCTCAGAGTCCTTTGTTATCTATTGTTTGATCCTTATTGCCTGACAATGACTAATGAGCTTTACCTGTATTCCTGAGCAAAACAAACCTAATAAAAGACCACTGAGGAAAAGACTCTTGGCCCTTCTCCTTTGAGAGATCGGCCACCTTTCCTCCCCAAGCAGATCATGTCTTGGTAGACTTATTCTCATCTGTGGAGACCGGGGACCGCCCCCCCCCCCCACATATCCATATTATCCTTTCAACATGCTCACCTTCCTTTCCTACCACTCTTTTTACAGAAATAAATATTAAATAATGTCTATTTTTTTGAACTGTACCTGTTGCTCCCTTCCTACCCTATGCCAGAGACATTAACCAACCTGAAATGTACACTAGGGAAAGAAGAAACAAATGCCATAGAAAGTTTCATTTGTATGTAGTTGGATATGTTTCCCTAACTCTTTCTTGATTATTTAAAAAAGTCCCAGGACCTGATTCTATGACAACTCTATGTGAGAATATAACACGTATTCCTTTTTAAAAAGTAATGTCAGGGTTTTTTTTTTCTCATTCACTGAGAGCACAGTTCTCAGATCATTTCATTCCCAACTGGTATCTAGCCTTCCATCCATTCATTCAACAACTATTTACCGAAGGCCTATTATATGCCAGGCACTGTTTTAATAGTTACTAAAAACAGACAGAAACCCTCCTTTCCTAGTAGTACCTTCACTCAAACAAAAACCATACTTTCTATGTCACTTAGATTTGAGTTTTTATAAATAACAAAATGGGGAGCTTGGCAAAGACCCAACTACCTCACCTGTCAATCAAGAACCTGTAGCCCAGGGAAGAAACACACATTTCTTAAGGTGGTTTCCCAAAACGTGATATAAACTGTCACTGGAGATGGTTATACAACATAACTCTCGATGATGCACAGATAAGTATTTTTATTTTAATATTTATGTATTTTTCCAATCTGATTAAACATATGTATAATTAGAAAAAACTAATAAATATGGTTTCTTTTAAAATAAATATGTTTTTAAAAAGTCCTCTTGAGGTGATGATAGTTTCATAGGTGCATATATATAAAGCTAAAGGTATGTTAATTGTACATTATTAATATGTGCAGTTTATTGTATGCCGATTATACCTCTATAAAGCTGTCTTTTAAGAAGAGAGTCAATACAGAAAACACCAGATAAATAACAGCTGATATGCTGAGCTGCTGACATGAAGGTAAGAGCCACGTGACTGGAGTTTGGGAACCCAGCCTAAGGCATAAAAGGAACACGTGGCAGAGCCGTGACGGGACCCTCTGCCTTCTGGGTCTCAGTCCAGGGCCCCTTCGCCACACACCGCACTGGCTCTGCCAAGGTGATAATAAACTGAACGCTTTCAAATCACAATTCAAGTGATTCCTTTAGTAAAACAATTTATCCTACTTTACCCACTAGTATTTGATAACTGTTTAGCTTCTCATAATATATATACTTGGACAAGTTTCCCTAATTTTCTTTATTTAACACTTTCCAGGTAAATGGCACTATGATTTCCTTAATCCCCATGTTAAGGTTTGGAATACAACTGCCTCCAACTAGAGAAATCTCAGAATAAAAAGATAAAATATGCCCAATAAACAGCCATATGTAACATAAAACTTCTCAGTGTATTACACAAGTTCAACAAGGCAACAAATACTGATGGATCAGTCCTCTCTTCTTCCGCTTTAAGACAGGATATATATGGATCTCAGAACACTCTCCCCTGCAGCACCCTCCTGCCCAGCAGCTGAGCATTTTCCTCCCCCCAAACCTACCCAGCTTTGCTCAAAATGAGACCCTCAGGACAAAACCTACACACAGACACAGTCCCCAAACCCCAGAAAACACTGTCTGCTCCCACCTCCCGTAGGCCCACCCTTCTCGAACATGCTTTCCCACAGCACCGAGCTGCGTCAGAGCAGCAAACCCCCACCTGTTCCCGCTGCCGCTCTATGGGCTCCTCAAGGACATGAGCTGTGCCTCACCCACCCCTTACCTCCCCAAACAAAAATGCCACTCATCAGATGTTTGAACGACAGCTCAAGAGAGAATTCAAGAGAAAGGGAATTACTAATTACCTACTAATAACTTCTTTTCTTTCCCACCAGCTAGTGTGTGGGAAAGGGAGCAAATAACTCCTTGGCTGTATCTAATTCACCTCTGTACTCTCAAAGCCCATTGCATAGTAACATGTGTATTTTAGGTGCTCAAAAATATTAACTCAATGCTGAATGAATGAATAAAAATACTTATCAATTCATTCATTCAGTACTTTTCTTTAAAAAATAAAAACTAGCCCAGTTAGCAGTCACCTTCCGAAATCCACAGTAAAGATGTCCAGTCCACGCACCTTTAGCCTTCTCGGCCCTCCTTTGGCGGAGCCCTTCCTTTTGCTCCTGCTAAGCACAGTGATAACCTTATCCAGCCCCCTTTCAAGGCTGCCAAACACCTTGGTCCCTTTTCTTTTTGGAGTATCCTCTACATGCACTTGGTTGATATCCAGTTCCACTGAGCGACACCTTAAAAAAAAGAAGAAACCCACAAGTGGAAGGGGGCCTCCAGCCCCCTGGGCCCTGTCTACAGCTGTGCCTCATTCGGGCGCCCCAGGGCCAGCCCATCTCCTTCCTCGGGGAGCACAGGGGTCTCCTCCCACTGGAATGTGGCCACCACTCCCGCCCCCACCAAATGCCACTCGGCCCCCTATCTTTTCCTTTTTAATGTCAAGTATACAGAAAAGTCAAACAAATAGTACAATGCACAACTGTTAATATTTTGCCACATTTGTTCTTTCTCTATCTATATAATAAATACACAAAATATATGTACATCTTTGCTGAGCCATCTGAAATTAACCCCCCTGAAGATATCATGATACTTCTTCACTCTGAAACACTTCAGCAAACATCGCCAGTAAATACATTTTCCTATATAATCAGAATATCATTATGACATCAAGAAAATAATGTCATAGTATCATCTAATATCTAATTCACATTCTAATTCCCTCCATTGGATCCCGCTTAAAGAAATAACTAGAAAACACCATGCAAGGTCACCTATGCTGTAGTCACTCACATGAGAATGGTTTTCTCTGAAACGCCCTTTGATATCCTCACCATTATGAGCAACTGCTATCTGTTAGCGGGTGTCTGTGCTCTTCCGATGAAAGTACAGAGCAAGACAAGCTTCAGAGGGAGAAAACCGTATGGCTGAGGCAAAGGCTACTATCTCCCTGCTGTATTTTAGGTTAAGGTGCCAGCCATCCTCGCACACGCGGTCCTCGGCTCAGACAGAATCTATGTGACGACTGGCCTTCACTGGGGTTATCATCTATGGAAAAAGGAAATCTGGTTTCGTTCACTAAAGATCAAAGAGTCTAAAAAACAGAACACTTACCGCCTCTCAGGGCTAATGACACCGGTTCCTGCAGAATTTACTGGCATTTTGACTGGGGTTGCCCTCAGGCACTGGTTTTTGACTATTAGAAAAACAACAAACACAAATCATATGCAGTTGACATACTGTGGTTTCAAAATTTCCATCAATAAAGCATGCATCACCTCATTCACTGACTCAGAAATTGGAATCACTTCGCCAGTGATGCTAAGGCTGTAATTCTAAATAAATGTTTCCATGTGATTTATAATAAAAACAAAATCATTCTGCTTTGCATGTGTGGCTCTTTTTCTACACTGCAAAACTGAGGCCATGCTTATGATTTTATTATAAATATCATATGACAGATCTAAGTAGATCACATAAATACAAATGTTGTCATTAATGATTCTCCTTCCTACAAATAAAAGTCAGTATCTATTTATACATGGACCCAATTTATGCCTTTGATTGATATAGTACTGAGAGGTGTTAATTCACGTCATAGCTCTATTCAACCTGTTCGGCAAAGGGAACAGTCCCCTGGGAACACTTGACTAAAGTTACCTAAAACGAGTGAGCTTTGGTTGTTTTTGAGTATTTGGTTATTTTGGTCCCCATTCCAGAATTTTGTGTTCTATTCTAGTGGGAATGTGTATCCCAGATAGTCTATGACAAATTTGCATTCGTAAATCTGGTTATCAGTGATTAGTTAACTTTTGTTTATAATCTAAAAGTTGTATCCCTTTAGAGATAATAACACTCACTTCATAATACGAGATATCAAGCTCTTAAAAAGAGATCAGAGGTTTGGTGTTGTTTATAACTATTCAGCACTACTCTCACTGGTTCTACCAGAACAAGAAAATCAGATCAATCAACACCTATCCAAACAGTTTTCAGCTTTGTGTACTGAGTGTACCCACGGCCACTCCTAGTTACCCTTCCACAAATTGTCACTGGCAGGATTATACAGGTTTCAGGAAAATGGAATGAATGTTTATGTCAGAGCTGACTCGGAGCAAAAGTAGAACACAAAGCGCCAGTGGAAGCTACCCATCAGGGCTTCCGGCACTTGCTCCCACAGGTGCCTCGTATGTTTAAAGAAAAACAGCCAATAACAGACTTTGACCAACATAATCTTCCTCACAGGAACAGGACTTGTACACTGATGGCACTTCAAGATTATAAATTCTCAACTATCCATATTTTAAAACCTTCAGAAACAGGTAAAAAGCAGGAAATATCAATAACAGAAGGGACTTATAAGCATCAAAGACTCTTCTTTGAAGAAGCTCTGCATGAGCCGAAGGCCCATCTTATCTCCCTGCCCAACCCCACTCACAAAGAATGTTGGACCTACATGAAGAGAAAGAGACCCCCCCCACACACACTAGGAAAAGGTGCAAGAGCAAATACTATTGAGGTCCTACTATGTGTAAATATTATCTCACTGAAACCTCGTAACAACCACAGGCAGATACACACACACACACTCACAAAATCACCACCATCATCACACCAAACTAGCCTCAAAATCTGGGGGAAGGTGCTGAGTTGATGAACTAGAAAAGGTGATTAACAGGGCTTCCAGCAAACACCCCGACGAAGTTTCTCACACCTGTACACACAAGAAGCAGACCCTGAGGCCGGCTCTCAGCCCCGCTGGCAAACTGGAGGCACAGTGACAGGGTGGTTGGGCAGCAGTTCACAGGGCAGTGCCTCAGGTTGGGTTCTTTAGGGTCTCAACATGACAAGACTAGGTCTCGATTGCTGGAAAAAGGCTAATAAGTTTAGATGTCATTTTAAAAAGTGACATAAACTGCCCTTGCTGGAGTGGCTAGTGGTCGGAGCACCAGCCTGCAAACCATAAAGGGTCGCGCCAGTCCAATTCCCAGTGTAAGGCACATGCCTGGGCTTCGGGCCAGGTCCCTGGTAGGGCGTGTGCGGACGCTACAACACTGATGTTTCTCTTCCTCTCCCTCCATCCCCGTCTCTAAAAATAAATGGATAAATCTTTTTTTTTTAAAGTGACACAGGTTAGATCATGGTAAATGGAATCCTATCAAGCATCAATGTGTTCATTCCTTCATTCAACAGATATGGTCCCCACTGTATAGCAGGCACTGGATGCCTACTTCGTGCCAGACAACGAATACAGCCCCTACGTACCATGCCAGGCTGCAATACACCCAGCAGACTCGGTCTCTGCTCTCCTGACACTACCTTGCCCCAGTGAGACCCGGTAATAGAAGACTGGGTTCTGTTCTAGGCACTGTTCTAAGAGGCTCATTAACAAAATAGAATAGTTTTAAGTGAGGCCAACAATCAAAACGCTCAGGTGTCATAAAGGAAACAGCTAAATAATTGGTGGTGACCAAGCTGAAGAGAGGAAACCAAGGGGAACGAGAGGTGCAATATCTGGACACAGGCACGAGGAAGGCATCGCAGTACACCTGTCTGCTGTTACGGGAGGCAGCACAGGGCAGAGCGGGATCAGACCCCAGAACTGGAGATCCAGATGGGTAAGCGTTCAGCAGAGACTTCACTTTAGTCATCACAGGTGGGGGCAAAGGGGCAAGCAAAATCTAAACCGGGATGACCTTGGGCAAGGCACTTGCCTCCTCCAAATCTCAGGTTCCTCAGCTGTGGAAAAGGCAGGTTGGTTAAATGAGCTTCAACTTGCCTTTCAGCTTTGATATTCTATGATCCTATGATTCAACTTTATATATATATAAAAGAGAACAGTTTATTATCATTTGAAAAAAATTAGGAGTTGACCAGTATGCTTTCATTTCAGCTAATGAAATAACATGATAAAAAAGCAGGCTGACTTCTCCTGGAAACTCCCGAGAGCCTTTCTGACCTGCACGGTAAAAAGAAGGGACTTTGAGGGTGTTTCAGCAAATACCTTTAGAGGGTGTAGTGTAATGATTTGGTGTAGTGAGTATTTCTCTTTTATGCTGGTTGTTATTAATCGGAGTCTTTGGCTCTGGAAGTACAAAGCACTCTTCATCCTTTACAGAGGACTTAGGAGTATATATATTCTCTTTGTTCTTTAATTTATTGGCAGATGCTCTGCATAAACCTGGAGTTAATGATTTAGATTCCAGACCATTTGATTCTGTCCGATGCTTGGCAAACTAGAAAAAAAAAGAAGTCACTGGATAAAGCACACTGAAGAAGAAGAAAAGTCAATTTCTTTACAACATGCTTTAATCACTTGCAAATTACCTTGTACCATTTTTACTAAAATGAAATACTATCAAGAGGATATTACTGGCAAGACCAAGAAATTTGAAAATGTGCATTACATTCTCTTCAGTACATGGAGATCACTTCAGTCTGTTCTGTTGACAGGTAATTTTCAACATACCTCAGGCCAGGTTTTTACACGAACGTGCCCAGGTCCGTAGACAATATTGAGACTGGCCACACATAAATCCCTAAAAATTGCTCCCCATACCCAGACTGCCATGGTTTGTCTCTTAGTATGTTATATGTAACCGAAAATAAGTTTAGTCAATAATTAGGGCAGAAAGACCATACTAAAATACTCTAACAGAAATGTTGGATAGGAAGTACTTTTTAGTCTTTTGAATTTATGGGTGAGCTGGCAAAATGCTAAAGAAAGTCCTCAGAGGCCAAATTTGAAGCAAGAGCAGGAATCCAGAAATGTCACCAAGGATGAGACTGCCCACCACCCTAAGGGCATCTCCCTACAAGCTGGGACACCCTGCAGCGTAGGTTTTAACACCACAGACGCCTTAGACCAACATAAGGTGGTAAACTGGATCCAAAGCTCCCGTGAAAAACCAGGAGAGGCTATAACTAAAACTGAAAAAGTGAATGAAATATAAATTTGCCCTGCAAGGAGTTGGCAAGAAAATGTGTCTATCTTGGCCTTAGCTCTGGAGAAGGAAAAAAAGTTTCCTTTAATAATTTGTAAGTAATCACAGGACAGTCTTCACATAGCTTGGCACCCAAATTCATACTACGTGCATGGTCCCCAAACTCACAGGCCTAGAATTTAACTTAAAGCTGTCCTGAGTTGGTTGTGTTTCAGGAGCATGGTAGAAGCAAATGCAACTCCTACCTAAAAGCTTCAATCCAACACAACCCAAGCGCTAAACCTCAACGTATTCCCGCAGAGACTTTTTTGTTAATAACTGGGAGGAACACGGAATGTCTGTTCTCCTGCTAGGACCACTAATGGTCATATTGGGTTGGCCAAAAAGTTAATTTAATATTTTTCTTTGAGACGGCTTAGCTGTCTTTAACTTCATTCTAAACAATTTTGTTTGACTGTATTGTGACAGATGTGGTATCAGTGTATATTTTTTAAAAATTTATCAAAATTGGGGGATTTATGTGTAGCCATTTTAATACTGAAGATGGAAGAAAATGCACAACATTTTCAGCATATTACACTTTATTATTTCAAGAGAGGTGAAAATGCAACTGAAACGTAAAGAAAAAAAGATTTGTGCAGAGTATGGAGATGCTGTGGCTGATTGAGCGTGTCAGAAGTGGTTTCAGAAGTTTTATGCTGGAGATTTCTCACCAGATGATGTTCCACGGTTGGGTGGACCAACTGCAGTTGACACTGATCACATTGAGACATTAACTGAGAACAGTCAACCTATCTCCTTGTACCACACAGGAGATAGCCGACATAAAACACCCAAATCAGTAACATTATTGGCAAAAATGAAAAATGTGTCTTTTATTTTACAGAAAAAACTAAATAGACTTTTTGACCAACCCAATAATAAAAAGAAAAAGCTATTAAAGGCATAAGAACTGGAAGAAACGTTAACTGTCATCCATAGATGATATAATTCTCTATATAAAGCACTCAAAAGGATATACAAGTTATAAGAATTAAAAAGAATTTAGGAAAGTTGTTGAATATAAAAGATCAAGACATAAAAATCAATTTCATATATACACACCAGTACCAGAGGGTTAGAAAAATGTGATTTGTAAGAACCTACCATTTCCAATAGTAAGGAAAAAAAAGGTACCTAGAAATAAATATAATAAAAGATACGTAGGACTTTTTTGTAGAAGTTTAGAAAACTTCATTAAACACAATTAACTAAAACCAAATAAATGAAGAGATGTTTAATGGACAGAAGATTTAAGGATCTAGATTGCAATTTTTCCCAATTTGAATCTTAAATTCAATGTAATTTCAACTTTTGAGTATGTGAAATGTGTCGAGATGATTCTAAAATGTATATGGGAATGCAAAGAAGCAAGAATAAGAGGAAACTGGCCTAAGAAGGAGTAAGTGAAAACTGGCCAACCAGATAGAAGAACTATTACAAAATTAAAGTAATTAAGATGTGTGGTATTGGCCTAGCTGGTATAGCTCAGTTGATTGAGCACAGGTCTGTGAACCAAAGGGTCACCGGTTTGATTCCCAGTCAGGGCACATGCCTGGGTTGTGGGCCAGGTCCCCAGTAGTGGGCACGTGAGAGGCAACCACACATTGATGTTTCTCTCCCTCTTTCTCCTTTCCCCTCTCTAAAAATAAATAAATAAATCTTAAAAAAAAAAAAAAAAAAGATGTGTGGTAATAGTACAAATAAACCAATAAAATAAAACACAGACCAGAAAAAGACACACTCACATGACAACTTGATACAGAAGCACAGAAGTACATTTGTAGATCAGCAGGGAAGGAGTGGACTTTTGAATGGTGCTGGTACAACTGATTACATGAGGGAAATATTAAAGCCTCAATCACATCATGCAGGAGAATACTGAATAGATTAGAGACTTAAATGTGGAAAAAGAGCTTTAAAACTTTTAGAAGCAAAGAAGACACAAAAATTATAAACCATAAAGGAAAATAACGACAACTTCAAATTCATCAAAATTAATGACATTAAAGTAAAATGACAAATTTAGACAGTATATCTGCAACACATAACCAAGAAGGAATGAGAATTGAGATTAAATTAAGAACTTTAATACAATAGGAAAAAAGAAACAATCCAATAGAAAAATGGGCAATGCAGGTGAAAAAGCATTTCACACACTAGGAAGCACCATTGGCCAATTAATATATGAGATGGTGTACAAGTCATCAGAAAAGACCAAATTAAAACCACAGTACACTCCCCAGATTAGAAAATACTAAATAGCCAAATATATCAAGCATTGATAAATGTGTGCAGCAATGGGAACACTTCTACTTGTGGCTGAAGTACAATATAATACTTTGGGGAAAAAAACCTGGCATTATCTGATAAGGTTGAAGATACTCATTCCACTCCCAAGTATATATATACACCCTATAGAACCCCCACATTTTCCTACCGGGGGCCTTGCTGTTCACAGGAGTCACCGCAGCAGGTTGTGGCTGCAATTTAGAAACTCAGCTTCTAAAAAATTCCCAACACTAAGTCTGTTTGCAAGGCTGGGCGCTGAACGCTGCTGTACCAGGGTGGACAGACTGCACAAAAGTGAGACATGTGGTGAACTCCTGCTTTCCTTCTGGAAGTCCAGAATTCCTATGATTGTGACGATCACACAGACAAAGGGTGCCTGAGAAACCAGCACCCAGGAGAAACGCTGAGAGCTGAGTCGCCAGCGGACTTCCCTGGGCGGGGACGGGCACACCGGCTCCTGCGCAGCACTGCTGGCGCAGGAGCGGACTCTGCAAGTTCCCGCAGCGCGGAGGAAATATAAACTACACACCCAAGAAGATCGACAAAGTCCAAGTAGGATGAAAAGATTTTCAGAAGAAGAGGAAAGCAGATCAGTTGCTGTTCTGAGCTGGCAGGGGGAGGGAGCTGACTACTAAGGGGCGTGAGGGAATTCAGGGGGCAACAGGACTGCTCTTGACTCTGGCGGTGGTTCCACGACTGTATGTGATTGTCGAAACAGTGAAATAGTGTAGTTAGCTATTTAACTACATGTAAATTACACCCCATTTTTTTTAAAAGAGAAGAGAAGGAAGCAGTAAAGTGCTCCAAAATACAATCTTGGCTTCCTTCAACTTGGAAATAAATGGCATCCCATTCATGAACAGTCCAACAGTCTCTCATTAATGCTTTCAATGGTTTAGGAATTCATTAAGTCTGCAAGCACATACTAGATCACTTGTTAGAGCTGAGATGTTTTTATAATTGATACAATCTATCCTGCTTTAAACGGTAATAAAATTAACCAACCTGTGGAGTTTGCGGAGTAGCCACACCTGTTGTTAAATTGTCTTCACACCATTCATAGTCTATTAATCCAGCCACAAAATTTCCATCACTTGTGGTCACATCTTCTAGACTCAGGTTCTTTGACTATTCAAAAACAGAAGCATCGTGATTCCATTTTTAAAACTGTACATTCCCAGCACAGGGCAAGGCCCTGGAAGCAGATGAGAAAGGATATATCAGGAGCTCACCACTCCATACGGAAAACAGGAAGTCGAAACATTTTAACTCAGATTATTAGAAGAGAGAATCTCTGACTCTCAAACAATATGTCTTGCAACATTCTATGTTTATGGCTTAGTTTATAATGATCAAATAACCACTGATGCCAGAAAACCCCTTTGCAAATCTATAAATAAATAGCTCTGACAAAGTAGAAGATGGAAGGGAAACAACTTTGAAATACAGGTTTCTTAGCTGTAAGAACATACACAGTAGTTAGGAATAAATTGGCCTTATGAAAGGTGTCCTGGGGACAAGATATTTGAAGTCCTATGCTAATAGTACCACCCAAGTCATTTATTTTCCTTCATTCTTCCTCTATAAACTAAGGTTATAGCAAATACACCCTAAATTCTAAGACAATGGAGCATAATTGGATTTTTTTATTTCTCCCTCTTTCCCTTTCCTTCAATACCTAGTTTTAACCTCACCAGGCAATTTTACTTCAATTGCTTACACCTCACCCCTTCTTTTCCAGTCCCACTGTCACTGTTCTAATTCAAGGACAAATCTCAGACCTGAACTATCCAAACAGACCATACAGTCTCTGCCACCAGTTTTTCCACCCTCTCAAACAGGAATGACAGCGTTCTCCAGGACTGCCAATTACCATCAACTAGACCCAGCTACACCAAGTGCTGGGCTGAGAAAAATACTCGAGCTAAGTCTAGGCTCAGAGGGAAAATGCTGTGTGAATGACAGTTGTCATGGGAACTACAGTAGAGAGTAACAGCACACACACTCATCCCCAAATGAACAATTCTATAGACCACTGGACGAATTACTTAAAATTATAGTCATGTCTTGCTCAAAAAGCCATTACCCAGACTATAGAGTCTAACCCCTCTGACACAGGACTTCAAGGTCCTCTATAATCTCTCACCCACCCCTCCAGTTCATGAGCTCCCTCTTCCACTCTCACTTTCCTCCCACTTGAACTCTTCATTTTAGCTAAACAGGTCTAGCCACTGACAACAGAATATATCTGTTTCAACTGACTCAATAACATGAACACTCACATAATTATTAGGGAAATGCTCATTAGATGGAAGTTAAGAATACCTTCCTAGCTCTTTTCCACTCAAAAGCACATGGACTGAGGGCAGGCCCACCAAGACAGAAGAAAATCCAATGGCTTAGGAAAACGTCTCAGACCTCTTAACTGAGGTTATCATGAATTTAAAACTTCAGCTGAAATTCATTCTAGGTATACAGGCATCTAATGCCTTTCTCAGATGACCTTGATCAAAAGCAAAGCTCATCATGTTTTTGAGTCCTGCTGTATCCAAAGGTGTTAGCTCGAGCCTGAGAGTTTAAAGGGTTTGGTGATGTGGGCAGGATGGCTGATGGGCCGACCATTAAGTCCATGGATGAAAGATCTGCCTGAGCATACATGGGGTATTCACTAGCCAACAAAACTCTCCAAGAACAGACTAGAAAACCGTAAGAATAAGATTATCAGCCCTGGCTGGTGTGGTTCAGTGGACTGAATGCTGGCCTGCAAACCAAAGGGTCGGTTCGGTTCCCAGTCAGGGCACATGCCTGGGTTGCAGGCCAGGTTCCCAGTGAGGGACGTGTGAGAGGCAACCACACATTGATGTTTCTGTCCCTCTCTTTATCACTCCCTTCTTCTCTTTCTAAAAATAAACAAGTAAAATCTTTATTAAAAAGATTACCTCACTTCAGAGATTTCTTCACAATAGACAACTAGCACTAACACTTTTCAGTTCTTAGTTTGGTCAAAGACCAACTGGGACAGGAAGACAGGAGACAAGTTGGTCAGGCCCACAACATCTGTGGCACACTGATGACAAGTGACAAAAAGAGCTAAATAAAGTGATAAAGGGAATTCAATCCAAGAGAGGCCTTTAACTTCTTCATAACAGAATTTTGGCATCTAAAGGAAAAAAAATCACTTTACCCACATCACCATTTAGGCTATTCTGGATTCCACAAAGAGGGCCAACCACCTCTCTGAGAATGCAGCTTCCTAGTGCTGTCATTCAAACTACAACCCAAATTAATCTGGGGGATTATATTACCAAGTTCCACACCCACTAGGAGAAGTATTTGGAAGGCAGAATTTTAAGCCATGGGAGATGCTAAGATTCAAACAGAAAACAGAGACTAATGTGAGCCCTGGTGCTTCCAAACACTGGGCTGGCCAAGGGTCTGTGTTGTTTTTTCCAGAAGATGGCTCTAGTAGTGCTTAGTTGTCTTTAACTTCATTCAGAATAATTCTGTTAGACTGTATTGTCGCAACTGTCATATCAGTGTACATTTTTTTAAAAACTTGTCAAAATTGGTGAATTTTTGTGTAGTCATTTTAATATTGAAGATGGAAGATACCACACAACATTTTCAGCATATCGTGTTTTACTATTTCAAGAAAGGTAAAAATGCAACTGAAATGCAAAAAAAAAATTGTGCAGTGTACGGAGAAGATGCTGTGATTGATCAAGCGTGTCAAAAGTGATTGGAGAAGTTTCATGCTGGAGATTTCTCACTGGGCCATGCTCCACAGCTGGGGACACCAGCTGAAGTGGACAGTGATCAAATCGAGTCATTGAGAACAACCAACATTATACTACACAAGAGACAGCCAACATACTCAAAATATCCAAGTCAATAGTTATTGGTGAAAATGAAAAATGTGTCTTTTATTTTATGGAAAAAACTAAACACACTTTTTGGCCAACCCTGCACATAAAACTTCTCTGCCATTCTAAATGTTCATGACAAAGGAAAAGGAGGCAGAGACTACAAAATAGAAAAAAATAATTTGGTTACAACTGACTCATACAAAGAATGAGTTGTCTGAGCTATTGCTACTGCTAAACAAAAACTTAAACCCTTAAAATAAATGAATATTAAAATAGCCATTGAAATATTTCACGTCCTATGAAGTATAATATGTCCTGTACTCACAGGTCCCATTCCCCCAAATTTTTTAAATTACTATAATTCAGTAGAGTACTGTGTTCTTTAAAAACACATGTACATAAATTATATAAATGAGCATATTAAAAATAGACCCTGAGGATAGAGTAAAATATAAACTATATTATCTATAGGCAGTAGGTTCATAGGTAAACTCTATTTTCCTTTAGCTTATCTGTGGCTTAAAATTTTTTCTACAACAATCAGAAATTGCTTTTGCAAAGAATAAGGGGAAGATTTTTTTAAAATGCCCTGCTAACATTTGAAATTTTAGAGTTCAAGTGTAGAATTTCCCATTTTCCCATCAAAAATATTTAGATCATAAAATACCCTGCCTCTGGCTCCTCAACACCAGCAAAGTTAACTTCCCCAGGGGTGCGCCCACGCACGAACGGGGCGGGTGCGTGGCAAAGCAGCAGGTGTTCACAAAAGGTTCTAACATCTACCTTGGCGTCTGTGAGCAGGGCGCCACTGGCCTGTCCGCAGGGAAGAGGAGGAAGCCTTAAACGCACTGGCTTTCCCCGAACCTTCTTGGCTAGAAGCAGAAGATAGGTAGCTGTCAGATGATCGTACTGCCACTGGAGGGAAAGAAAAGCAAGTTGTTTAGAAGATCAAAGTTGTTTTTTGAAATGATGTTCTATTTTAAATTAATGATTTTCTTGATGTAACAGACATTCAGAATTTTAAAAAACTTTTAGCTTTACAAGGCATATAGTGGAAAACAGTGATCCCTCCACCACACTCCCCACACCTCTTTCTACTCTCCCAGAAGAACCACTTTTATATACTTTGAGCTATTTTTCTGTAATTCTAAATTGTTTATACAGCTTTAATTTTTTTCTTCAGCCTCAGATATTACCTACAGATTATCCCACCGTGTAGAATTTAGCTCTACTACAATGCCTTCCTTCCCGCCACACATCTCCTTCCTGCATCCTTCCATTGTAATTTTGTAATTTTAGTAATCAGTATTTGTATTATTATTATTATGTAAATATATAGTATTCACAACTAAGTAAAGGTAATGTTCAAATATTTCATTAGTAAACCAACCAGTCAGAACAGAGGCCAAAAGAGGAGTAGGACCCTGGGGACCCCTGTCATGCTGATTCGATTATTGACCTTTTAATGATGGACTTGAGGTGGGACTGGAGGTAGGTGCCTAGTGCCTAAGGAGTAACAGGGCCACAGGGAGGGTACTCAGGGTAGTAGTTAGTTACCAATCACTATACAAATACTAGTATCTCATCTGGCTGGTGCAGCTCAGTGCATTGAACACGGGCCTGTGAACCAAAGGGTCACTGGTTCTGTTCCCAGTCAGGGTGTATGCCTGGGTTGCGGGCCAGGTCCCCAGTAGGGGGCATGAAAGAGGCAACCACACACTGATGTTTTTCTCCCTCTCTTTCTCCCTCCCTTCCCCTCTCTCTAAAAATAAATAAATAAAATCTTTAAACAAAAAACAAACAAATATTAGTACCTCACAACCAGTATGGCCACACTGGCTGAGTATCAGCCCTGCAGCTAAAAGACACGTGATGCTATCCTAGCATTTCCCCCTTTACAACTCAGTTTTTCCTGAAGTTAGAACTTTTAAAGGCAGTCACTCATCTTAACTCAACTCTGATGTCTGCATTCCACACTGCACTCTGGACTGGCTTCCTTCTCAGCCTGCAGCTCGACTACTAGGCTAGGGATTCCCTTTGCCTCTATCCTACAGCACATCCCCACTCCCTAGACCCTAACTATTCCTCTTTCTTAGTTTACTTTGTGCTAGTGGAACACACCCTCCAGCAACTTCCTGAGGGTGGATGAATGGGAGGCAAATTTTCTGAGAGCTTGCATGTCCGATAAATGACTGCATTCTATTCACACACTTGATTCTACTTTGGCTGAGTATAGAATTCTAGGTTGATAATAATTTTCAGTTTGGAAGGCATGGTTCCACAGTCTTTTCATTTCTAGTATAGCTACAAAAAACCTAAAGTCTTTCTGATGCCCAGGACTTTGTGTATGACCATTTGGTTTTTGTTCCTAAAACCTTTGGGATTTTCTCCTTTTCCCCAGTTGTCTGAAATTTCACTCTAACAGGCCTTTGTGCAGCTCTGTCTTCATCTGTTCTGGTAAGCCCTGGTCAGGCCCCTTTGTTCTTAGAAACTCGGTTCTGGAATATTTCTACAATGGTTTCTTTCCCTCCTCCTTCTGTTTTATCTTCTTGAAACTTACATTATTTGCACGTAGGACCTTTCCTATCCCCTCTATTCTGTTTGTGCATCATTTCGTCTTTAGGTTTTACTTTTGAAAGATTTCACATTAACTCATTTTCAAACATTTCTACTGAGCTTTTCATTTCTGAGGTCATATTTTAAATTTTCAAGAGCTATCTCTTGAAACCGTTCCTTTTTAGTCATCTTATTCCTATTTCAAGATAGGAATAGCTTCTCTTATCTCTGAGAATATTAATTATCATTTCTTAGCCATTTTCCCCCACTTCCTGTTATCTGTTTTTTTCTGAATATTGTTACTTTTTCTTCCTTCTCCCTACCAACCCCATGCCATTTGTTTTGACCTCTGGCTTTCATGTTAGAGGCTTTCCTCAAATATCTGGTGATCTTTGGCTATCTGTCTCTATTTAAAAGTGAAGAATTATAATAACACAGCTAATTAAAGGCTCTATGGGTAGTCTGGGGCTGCTTATCATCTTGGGGACTTTTCTCTAAGGCGGCGATTTTCAACCGGTGTGTGGCAAGAATTTTCAAAACTTGCCATGCCTGATTACTTAGTCAGGGCACTGACCCCTTTTCCCTTAGATTGTCAAATTAAAAAGTGACAACAGCCAACACGACAATAGTTGTCTGGTGAGAATGAATCAAAATTACACTCATTTTCTGTCAGATTGGCAAAAAAATATATTTTTGGTGTGCCACAGAATTTTAGTAATTAGTTTATGTGTGCCATGAGATGGAGAAGGTTGAAAGCCACTACTGTCAGGTAAACAGGCAGGAAGCCTGAACTCTCAACCACTGCTAGGGTAGGTTTTTCCTTCTGGCTTTCCTCTAAAGATGAATCTTCGAATATTTTCCCCGCCCCCACGGCAAGCAGGATAAACTCCTAGTTCCAGCATTCTCACAGCTGAACAGTGAAGGGGGTTAGAGGCAGTGGTTCACTGTTCAACATGAGGACTGTGTGTGCCCCTGTATCCTTTCCACACGCTCACCACCCCACCCGGGCTGGGCCTGGTACACGAGTGCCTCTCGTTCTATGCCTCCAATCTTCTGCCGCAGTCGAGAAGAGGTGGCTGTCCTGATGCCCGAGGTAGAGAAAGGGACCTCGGGGTCTAACTGCCTCTAATACAGACTTTCAACTCATCTTCCCTGTTCCCACCCTGCTCACATCCCTGATTTCAGAGCTTCCCAGCACCGCTGACTGCTGGGCCTTGCTGGAGCTCTAGCGCTCCAATCGGTTTGCTTCTTGGCCTTTCCCACTGCAGGCCCTTGGGCTTTCAGCTTCCTCCAGAACACTACGTCAGCTACCACTCACCCACTTTATAAATTCCAAACTTTTAGTGACATTACTCTTGTCTCCTCTTTTATTCTCTTCATTGTGAATTTTTTGCCCTTTACCCCTCTGTTATTTTAGTGAGGTTTTAGGAAGTGTTGAATGCAAGTGTATCTGTTCAATCCACTGTGTTTAACTGAAAATTTCTAAATAATGTGCTCATAAGACTATGGACTCTCTCTGCCCTACAAAAGTGTTACATTTTAATAATATTGAATGATATTTAAATGCTAAGTGTCTCCTCACTAAGTACATTAACCAAAGAGGTTTACTACCAATTTTGCTTTTGTTTATAAATTTTATCAGTTCATATTTTAGATGGCCACAACCACAGTGTATGCTTTGAAATTTATACCATGGATCCACCCATCTAGTGGGAGAAGTATAAATTGTAATAAATTATCACAGAATGCTTCCTTTAATCCAGACGGGGCCAGGGGGGAAGGCAGAAAAGGTTTCAGGGGAAAGGTACTTGGGAACTGAGTAGAAACTAAGTCATTCAGTTTCCAAAAATCAAAGCAGGCAGATAGAAATGAGGAAGTAGAAATGAGGAAGTTCCAAAGGCATCTGCAGCAGGTGCAAAGTATGCTAAAGAAAGCTCAGCCAGACATCCCAGGCCAGACAGCCTGAGTCCCTGAAATAGTCACTTTACCCCCCACGAGTAGCTGGACTTGAGGCAGAGGCTTGGAGAGAGGGGATAAAACAGAAACGAGGAAGTCCTGGGAGGCTGAGCTGACATTGACATTTACCAACATCCTGACTTCTGGAAACGGTCTTGTAATAGCATAGTAATACTTAAAACCACAGCCGGGCCTGCACACTTTGATCCTAAACAATCTATAGTACACTTTAGCATTATTATAATCTGATTGTAATAAATTAGCACTGTGGTTTCTACCCCTGAAATGAGCAATCAGAAAGAACTATGGGTAATCATGTGCATCATAGCAGAAAAATTATATAACTTCTAACGCATGCACAGTAAAAAGTAGATTAAGAATAGGGAATTAAAAGCCTTATAAAATTACAATCCCTCAGACAACAAGGGGCATTTCTACATTCAAGGGATTGGCTTGCTTCTACATTCTGTGGAGTGTACTGTCCTTAATAAAGCTTGTTTACTTCCCTTGTCCAATTCTTTGTTCATGATCACCAACGACCTGGTTATCTGTGCACACCTGTGACAAAAATACATTAAGGATTTTTTTTTCACCTCCCACATCTACAGTCTCATCTACAATAGCCAGCTTTTTTAAAAAGATGCCATAGCCTTTGCTGGTGCAGCTCAGTGGATTGAGCATGGGCCTTTGAACCAAAGGGTTGCTGGTTCAATTCCCAGTCAGGGCACATGCCTGGGGTGCAGGCCAGGTCCCCAGTAGCAGGTGTGTGAGAAGCAACCACACATTGATGCTTCTCTCCCTCTCTTTCTCCTTCCCTTCCCCTCTCTCTAAAAATAAATAAATAAAATCTAAAAGAAAGTACCATAAAGTAATTACAGTTAATGGCTAAGAAACAAGCTGCCACTTGCTTATCAACAATGGCAGGACCCGGGCACTGCACACAACCCCTGGGCAGTGCTACGGTTTTACGTGCAGTTTCCCAAGCACGCCTAGGAGTCTGACAACAGCCTCTCAGCTCTCTTTCTCCCTGCACTAAAAAACCCCATCATTTTTGTAACTTCTTTGCCCTAGCCGCTGCATACTACTCATTATGATAAGATGTACAGGGGAGTCCTGTGCTGAATAACAGGTATATCAACACATTAGTTACGCTTTCAGGTGATGTCAATCTACAAGTCTAACACAACCAATGTCTCCCTTATCTTTTAGACAGTTCCCTCTTTTGAAAGTCAAATGTCTGAAAGTAAAGCAATAGGTTCACTGTTATAAAAAAGCTACCACTTCTAGGAAACTAAAAACATTTTAAATCCCCTGATTTTTCAGGCAGGCCAAATATTAAAGAACTGCCCAGGCAGCTGGGCTGAGGAGAGGCGGCTATGGGTATGGAGGGTTGGAGAAACCCTTCCCCTGACCGGCTCCCAAGGCCCCCAATCTGTAAACGCCCACTGCCAGAACACATGGGCATTTTCACTGCAGGGATAGGTAAAGGGATGTCTTGGTCTGAAGAGGTTCTCAGTGAAGTGCCCCTACCACATGACTGGCAGCTCCCACAATCCAGAGCCAATCATAGCTGAAAGAACAGGGGAAAGTAAGGAAAACCATGAGGCGGAAGCTCTAGCGCCATGGTTGGGAATCTCAAGAGGGCTGCAAAGAGATAGCTCAAAATGAAACTCTAACTTCTGTGTATAAAAAGCAGTTTAAGAGTGCTCATGTACAATGTAAAAGTGGGCGTTCTATCAGTTGAATGTTTGGGAATAATATTCTTTCTCGCTTCTTGTGCAAAGATCAGCAGCACCGTATCGGAATGGAACACACGAAACTGATCTCTCTCTGTCCTAACTCCCCCACAAGTAAAAGCAAAGCTCCCAGGATGCCAGAAAAATAAGATAAAAAAAATAAGCTGATCTCGAACCTGGCTTTTCTGAGGCTCTAGAACTTAGGACCAATGTGAATTTTCTGTGACTACCTGGACCAGGACTTCTCAACCTCAACCCTATCGACATCTGACCTGGATAAGTCTGTACTGTGAAAGACTAGTCTGTGCATTGAAGGATATCTGGAACATCCCTCGACTCTACCAGGTTTGCCATTAGCACACAGACAAATCCCAAGTGTGAGAACCAAAAATGTTCTGAGGGGCAAAAATCACTCCCAGTTGAGAACCACTGACACAGACCAAGGCTTCTCAAGCTTTAATGTACCGTGAATCACTCAGGGATTTTATTACGATGAAGATTCTGATTTAGTAGATCGGAGGTGGGGCCTGAGATTCTGCTTTTCTAATAAACACTAAGTGATGCTGATGCTGCTGGTCCTACAGCACACTTTAAATAGCAAGAATCTAGAGTCATACTTCTGGCCACGTGTTGCCATCATTTGGGAAGCTTTGAAAAGTTCTGATGCCTAGGCCACACCCCAGACCAATGAGATCATAAGCTCCGAGGGTAGGACCAAGGCATCAGAACTAGTTTCGAGTTCCCAAATTTGAGCCCAATGTTCAGCCAAGGTTAAGGACATGTACCGTATTCATCCCTAGGACTGGAAGATAAGCACAGATGTAGACAGGCATTTAAGAATGAGGGAAGACGAGAAACTACCGCTTTCCTCACAGCATTTTTGATCTTGGTCATGCCTAGTTCTTAGAATAACTGAGAAACTAGAGAGATGTAACACCAGGAAACGGTCTCTATATGCTTCATTATACACTCTGTTTGCCTTATCAGAAGTAAAGAAAACAACTCCTCGTTCCATTTCACTGCTAGTTTTCAAAAGTGTATTTATGGACCAAATAAAGGATACTCATTTAAAGAATTTTTTCAATGATTCTTGAAATTCTGAGTATGTTATTTTCAAGACTCAAATTTTTAAAATGTGTGAATCACAGAATGTGTGACTCTCATGCCAAATTTCAAATGACGTAATGTACGGGATTTGCTTTGAAATACCTAGTTGGAAAGTGCAGATGGAGGAGGGTACTGGGACACAGACAAAACGAGCAAAATGTTAGTGATGTTGGGATGATGAGTACATGAAAGACCATCGTTATCATACTATTCTCTCCACTTTTGAGGTGTTTGAAAATTTCTATAATAACAATTTTAAAACAAATTTTATGTATCTGAAATACAGACTTCTATTAAAGACCACCCTCCCAAAAAAATCATGCAATTTTTTAAAGTTGCTTATATGAAAACTTCCCATTTGCACTGTAAAAAAATTAATGACCTATATATCTTGTAGTAATTCCAAATTCTAGCCATTCCTTCTCATTCTGCAAAAAGAAAATTATCGTTCTGTTTTCCAGACATACTCCAGAGCCTTTGCTTATTATGTCACTCAAAAAAAAAATGCCTTTCTATCTCCACCTCTCTTAAATTAAAAGAACTGTGGTTTAGCAAAGTTTTGCTTAGGGGGGAAAAACGTGCTTAAGGCTTTTTTACCTTACAAGTTAGAAAACGGGAAAAAATACCAATCACTGGTGATGAAAGATACAGAACTGAAGAAGAAAATTTGGGTGCAAACCCAGCCCAGCATTTAGATTACAGTCAGAGACAACTCTGACTGCCTCCATCTCTAGGAAATATGTGATCTAGAGATTAAAGCATCTGAAAGAGCTAAAATGATGCAACACCAGAAATCAGGATAATGATTTCATGGTATTTGGTTCATAAGCTTAGGGGCGATATAATGCTACAGGGTTGCTTTTGGGAAAGAAGGAAAACTGTTCTGTGTTTACCTTATTTCTACAGCAGAATCATAATTCCACGTTAGAGAAGTTAACAAAGTCAAGATCAGAACTCTGTCAATTCCTTGGACTAGTTCTGTTTCTTAATTTTTTCCACTATAATTCTCTTTAATCAATGTCATTTTTAAAAGGCTATCCAGTAGACATTTAAAAAGAGTAGAAATAATACACAAATATAAAATAAGCACAATAGTTATACCCATGATAAAATCACAGGCCTGACAATGCTATGTTTTGTTTTGTTTTTTTTGGCTTGAGCAATGTATGGTGATGCCACTTACTGAGATGAGGAAAACTGAGAGAGGTACAGACTGGGGTAGTGGACTGGTGGGAACTCAAGAGATCAATTTCATACCAATAAAATCAAGAACAATAGAATAAAAGGTGTTACTCTTAAATTCATGCCGTCACTTCTTACCAATGAAATCACATCCTCCATTGTTTGCCTGTTCTTTCTGTGATGCACAGAAAGTTCCGTTACACAATCTTCATCAAGGTGAATAAGCTGCAAAAAAAAAATGGGGAAACTTTATTACAAAATATTTGTTTGGAAATTTTTCAATTATCATAACTACCTTGTAAAAACAAACACCAAGATGTAAAAGCAACATGTGTTTGTCAAACTCCTGGGTAAGAATAAACATTCTCCATAATTTTTAAAGATATAAGCAGATGACGATAATTCAAGAAGATGAGATCTTTCCCAGCCCTTCATAGCCTCACCATCAATTCTTAAAATTCTGTTACGCAGCCACGGGACTGTAACTCCTTCCGACCACAAGACTGCACTGGCATTTTCATCAAAGACCAGTCACCTGCACATCTAAAACCAGTGACTAGACAACAGACTGCTAAAGACTGCAATCAGACTTGCAGCAGATTGTCCCTCAGGTTAACTTGGGGTTCAGCACAATCCCAAGAGCCCTTATGATGGTCCCACACAATCTCCATTATGCTGAAGGTATAGCAGAACACAATTTTTAAAAAGGGAGGCAGCCTCAATTCAAACTTCATTTTGAAATCATCCACGTATTCATATTCCTGCATGACGGGACCTCATCAAAAACGTATTCTCAGAACCAAACAAGGATTACCAAGAATGAGAAGACAGGAAGGGCCTGGCCTGGAGTCGGCCCACAGTTCATAAAATTGCATGAGAAGAGAATCTTAAGAAATGTTAAAGTCGTCTTCCCCATGTAAGAAGTCTCTTCACAACAGCTGCAGTAAGTGATGTTTCACTTTCTGCTTAAACTACTCCTTTACCAGAACAGTCTACACGGTTAGCTTCTCCCTCCTGTCCCCTCAGGTCTGCCTCCCTGGGACTCCTACTCACTGTGAACCAATACTATCTGACACATAACAGGTTTTGGAACTAGACAGACCTTGGTTTTAATTGTGGCATCATTAAACAACTGTGTGACCTTGAGCACATCACACCACCTCTGAGCCTCAGTTTCATCATCTGTGGAAAAAAGAAGGCATCTGCCTTGTCACAGACACAACATGTGGAGTGCCGGGTCCACATATGGAGCGGACCCAGCACTCCACACATACCCAAGTTAAATTAAATACAAAAATATAAACCAAAAGCCAGCCAATTATTTTGGAATATCTGAATAGAAAAGGTGCTTAAAAACTGGTTAACTATTTTTACTATCAGTCATAATTTTACCTCTTCTTTGGTATAAAAGCCTTTTGGAAATTGAATATTCCCATTACAGACAACATTTCCTCTGCAAGTTTTCTCTTCCCTGTCCTTTAAACTACCTTCTAATGATTAACTCCCCTTAACATCCAGGCCCTTTCTTTCTATCACACCATCCAGGTTTGCCATCAAGGTGTTAAAAATAAGTTTTTACCGTGTTGCTTTGACCTGGGCAGGATCCAAAACTTTAAAACCCTCCTTCACGATGGGCTCACCCTCAGCCGCCCAGACACTTTACCACCCAGTTAGGCACCCCCTTGTTAATGCCACCACTGCTGAAACAAAGGAAAGATTTCTGGGGTTCCTTCCGTGACCTTAAGTTACTCTCCTTGAAAGGAAAGAAAAGGAATGAAGAAGGAGGGAAGGAAGGAAGGAAGGAAGGAAGGAAGGAAGGAAGGAAGGAAGGAAGGAAGGAAGGAAGGAAGGAAGGAAGGAAGGAAGGGAGGAAGGGACAAACCCTTCTCTTTCCCATAGCCTTCTGCTCTGCACCTTTACCACAAGGTTTGTGCGAGAAAGGAGGGAAGGATAAGGAATAGGTGCTATCTTCTTTTCTGGGCCCCTAAATTAAAAAGAAGGAAAAGAATGATGTGGACAAGAAACCAGTCTGAAAAGTATGGCTCACTATTTTAAGTACCTGAATTCTCAGCCACATATACCCAAGTTAAATTAAATACAAAAACGCATACCAAAAGCCAGCCAATTATTTTGGATTATCTGGGCCCAGTTCTATGAATAGAACTGAATATAACTTCTATTTGATACAATACCTAGGTACTAGAGTTATATGTGAAAACTGTAGGAGATCATGCATAGAGTTATAGAATAGAATCTATTCCCTAAATCTCCAAGGAAATCTGGAGATTTTTTTCCAGATCTGGAATTATTTTTATAGTTTATTCTTTTTCTAAATTTAATCTTTAGTGTATTTTTTCCATTACCATTTTATATTTTTTTATTTTATTGATTATGCCATTACATTTGTTCTATTTCTAGTTCCCCTCCACCCTGCACACCCCTCCCCCACCATTCCCCCCTTTAGTTCATGAACACGTGTCTCAAGTTCTTTAGATTCTATATTTCCCATACTATTCTTACCCTCCCCCCTATCTATTTTCTATCTACTGTCTATGCTACTTATTTTCTGTATCTGCTCCCCCCTTCTCCTTCTCCCACACTCTCCTGTTGCTAACCCTCCACATGATCTACATTTCTATGGTTCACTCCTGATCTAGCTGTCCTCTTAGTTTGCTTTTGTTTTAGGTGTGGTTGTTGATAACTGTGAGTTTGCTGTCTTTTCACTGTTCATCTTTTTTATCTTCTTTTTCTTAGGTAAGTCCCTTTAACATTTCATATAATAAGGGCTTGGGTGATGATGAACTCCTTGAATTTGATCTTATCTGAGAAGCATTTTATCTGTCCTTCCATTCTAAATGAAAACTTTGCTGGATAGAGCAATTTTGGTTGTAGGTCTTTGGTTTTTATGACTTGGAATACTTCTTCCCAGGCCCTTCTTGCCTGTAAGGTCTCTTTTGAGAAACCGCTGACAGTGTGATGGGAAGTCCTTTGTAGGTGACTGTCCCCTTAGCTCTTGTTGCTTCTAGGATTCTCTCCTTCATTTTAATCTTGGCTAATGTAATGATGATGTGCCTTGGTGTGTTTCTTCTTGGGTCCAACTTCTTTGGGACTCTCTGAGCTTCCTGGATTTCCTGGAAGTCTATTTCCTTTGCCAGATTGAGGAAATTCTCTTTTATTATTTGTTCAAATAAGGTTTCCACTCGTGACTGTTCCTCTTCCCCTTTTGGTACCCCTATAATTCAGATGATGGAGCATTTAAAGATGTCCTAGAGGTTCCTAAGCCTCTCCTCATTTTTTTGAATTCTTGTTTCTTCATCCTTTTCTGTTTGGTCATTTTTTCCCTCTTTCTGGTCCACTCCTTTGATTTGAGTCCCAGTTTCCTTTCCATTACTATTGGTTTCCTGTGCATTACCATTCATTTCAATTAGTTTAGCCTTCATATGTTCCTCTAATTTGTGACTAAAATCAACCAGTTCTGTGAGGATCCTGATCACCAGTGTTTTGAACTGTGCATCTGAAAATTTGGCTATTTCTTCATCACTTAGATTTATTGGCTCTGGGGCTCTGAGTTGTTCTTGAGCCATGTTTTTATCTGTTTGTGCCTGATACATATGAGGAGAGGCGCCTTAGGTGTTCACCAGGGCAGAGCCACCTAGGTCGCTGGTTTGTGACATTGTATGTGGGCGCGGCGTCAGAGAGGGAGCAATGGCGGTCCTCTGCTTGCCCAGTCCGCCTCACCGCTCGCCGCCCTCCACCCCGCCTGTTTATCTGAGCGCAAACGTGCGAGCCCACCGCCCTACGCAGCCGCTCGGTCTCAATACTGTCTCTTCACTGGTTTATCTGCACGCAGATGTGTGACCGACCGCAGACAGCCAGCCGTGCCTCTTCCCTATGTCCGCCCATAGCCAGCCCGCACCTAGAATCCGCGCTCTCGGCTGCCTCGCACCTCCCAGGTCGGGAGATCTTTTTTTTGCCTGACTGGCTCTGCAGCTGGCTTTGCCCCTCTCACCGGTTTAGCTGAGTGGTTCGTTATTTTCGAACTCTGTATCGTCAATTTTCTGTGTGGTTTGGTTGCGTTTATTGTTGTTAGAACTTTGTTGTTTTTAGATTTGGTTGTGCGAGGACGCAAAGTGTTTCCACCTACGCCTCCATCTTGGCAGAAGTCTCTCCATTACCATTTAGTCCCCTTTATAGTTTACTCTTGATGAAACACAGTATTGAGAGAGAAAAGCAAAGACTTTGAAAAGCAAGAACAAACCTCTTCTGTATATAAGTGGTTTGATCCCCGTAACAGCTCTGCAAGGCAGGCAAGACGGATGAATGACATAACATGTAAAGCCACTCTGTGAATGCCAAAACATAACCCGAACATGTGAGACACATCAGCACACCCATATCAGAGATTAGAAAATTATAAATCAGAAAAACTCATGCAATCTGCCCAAGTCTGGCATTTTTCATTCCTAGCCCAGGGCTTTCTCTCCCCCCCCCCCACACTACCACCTCTCCATGACTGCTTCAGTAGCCATTCCAACAGAGACCAGACAAGAAATGCTTATCACAAAGGCTACAGCTACACAGGATACAGGGCCTGAGGCTGAACTAGCTGACCTATCAGATCAACTAGTTCAGCCCTTCTGTCTGGGTCCAAATCTTGGTTCTACACTTACTAGTTGTTTGACCTTGGGAAAGTTACTTCATGATTCTATGTCTCAGTTGCCTCTTCTGCTAAATGGAGACAATAATATCATCTACTTCAAAGGGTTGGTATAAAGATGAAATGAGTTACAGAAGTGAAAAACGTAAAGCCCAGAGAATAGCCCCTGACTCAAAGGTATTATCCTAAAGGCTCTATCTATATTATAGTATGGTACAATATCCAGAAAGTTCTTGGTATAATAGCACACTATTCTATTATCGTAAGTATTCAATAAATACTCGCAATTATTATACTATGGTGTAAGAAAAATGATATACTCTTTTGGAACACTCAAACTATGTATTTCACTTTATATTGCACCTCACATTAAAATAATTTTTGTTGTTGAAATCAGAGACTATCTTCATTTTGGCACCTGCTCTGCTGCAAACAGTAGTGTATCCTATCCTATTAGAATCACGGCAGAGAACACAGGCAAAGCCCTCCCACACATGGAGAAATGATGACCCCCAATGGCTGGAGACAGGCATTCACACCACCTGCTCTCCACCTCACAAGGGACACCTCCCTGCTGCCCCTCTCACGCACCTGCGCACTCTGCTGTCCTCAGCCCTCAGTGTTGAGAGCTGTTAGAATTAAGTTGCAGCTCTAATTGCATTTGCTCAATAGATACTATGTCATGAAGGGCCGAAGGTGACATGGAGAAAAGAAATGTCAGGAGCTGACAGTCACAGGAGAATCAGGAGGAGTGTCAGCTCAGGCTACGTGGCCATTACAGTGGGTGGAGTAATGAGAAGGGGCTAAAAGTACACTCTGTTTTTCTAAGACCAGCTGGCCATAGTGAAGAGTATTTCTATTTATTGGTGTGATTGTGCCCGAAAGCAGACCCCTCGCAGCCCCACCAGGTCTGCACTGCGGCATGTCTGAGACGCACCTCTGAGCTGGTCTGCTGACACGTGCAGGTGTCCCACTTTGCTGCTGAGGTTTTAATGGACCATCAGAGAACATCTCCAATTATCTGAAAAGGCTATTAAAACACTTCTTTAAAGTATTAAAACACTTTTCTTTTTTTTTTACATATTTTATTTATTTATTTTTAGAGAGAAGAAGGGAAAGAGAATGAGAGGGAGAGAAACAACGTGTGGTTGCCTCTCATGTGCCCCCTACTGGGGACCCGGCCTGCAACCCAGGCATGTGTCTTGACTAGGAATCAAACTGGTGACCCTTTGGTTCACAGGCTGGCACTCAATCCACTGAGCTACACCAGCCAGGGCTAAAGTGTCAAAATACTTTTCTAACTACATATCTCTGTGAGGCTACATTTTCTTCATATGCTTCAATGAAAAGAACATTATCAAAACTCACTGAATGCAAAAACAGATGAGTATCCGAGTGTCTTCTATTGAAGCCAGACGTAACAGAAATTCACAAAGATGTAAAGCAATGTTACTTTTCATTTCTCTATTTCCTTATTTATCAATAGGAAATAAGAACTTTACCAACCTTAAAGGGTACACCTTCCCTAGTGCTCTGGCCTTTGGCACGTGGCTTGCTTTGGGGATGGGATACTAGTAAGCAGGATGCAAGCAGAGGCTTGAAAAATGAGTATTAGGGTTTGCCCACTTTCTTGTTTTTGGGGGGAATCCAGCCATCATATCAAGAAGCCCAGGCTAGTCGACTGCACATGATGTGGCCCAACAAATAGCCAGCACAAACAGCTGGTCTTTTGGGTGACATGTGGACCACACAGCCACAGCTCAGGCACCAGGTGACTGCAGTCACACGAGCAGGCCCAGGTTAAGACCCACACAAGAACCGCCCAGCTGAGCCAGCCCGAATTGCTGATCTACAGAATGGTTCATTATTATTGTTTGAAGTCACTAAATCTTGGAGTGATTTTTAAAACAGCAATACTTAACTATTATACAAAATCTACATGTCCTTTAGTCATCTTCACATTTTTACCAAGTTCAAGTGCCATTTGTTAAGAAAAAAAATTTTTGACATTAATGTAGAAATAATTATTTAAACGATTGCTTAAACTTGCATAGCACTTTATATTAAAGTCCTTTCATACACATATTAGACCGGTTCTCAGGTGTGGTTCAAAGACCCCTGAGGATCTCCAAGGACAAAACTATTTTTATAGTGATACAGTTTTTCATTTTTCACCATGTTAACATTTGCACTGATGGGACAAAAGCAGTGATGAGTGAAAGTGCTGGTGCCGAGTAAAAAAATCAGTGCAAAGGCACCAAACTGACAAACACATTGTATTCTTTGCAGTGCATTCAGTTAAAAAAATCCAGTTTCAATGAAGACTATCATTGATGATGCCATAAAAAGTATCAGTTTTATTTAGGCTTGGATGTCTGGTGAAAGGTTTCTCAAAAATGAACAAAGTGAACTTGTCACTTCAAGGAAAACAAATGGCAGCATTTGTTGCCAATAATGTGGAGTTTTAAGAAAAACTTAGAATTTTGGGAAACTTACATTTGCCACCATGAACTTGGTGGTTTTCCAATAATTAAGACCTTTCTGATGAGATCAGTAGTGACTTTAAGAAATGTGGGTTTTTAAAAAATATAGAGGATAAGGAAAGGTGTTAATATTTGGAACGTCTGCACAAGTAAGTGAACAGATATTTTCCAAATGACCAGTGCCTAATGTTACCTGGGGAAAGATCCAATGGACAGACTAGTGGACTTTAACGTAATAAAAAAGTTCATAGATCTAGTGTCAGATTCCACATGCAACTAACCTTTAAGAAACTGCCACTTGTCAAGTTTTAATGGAATATCAAAGACTATCTCCAACTGTTTGAAAAAGCCATTAAAATACTTATCCATTTTCCTACTACATAGCTGTGTGAGGCTGCATTTTCTTCATATACTTTAATCAAAACTGACTGAATGCAGGTCAGATCCCAGTGTCTTCTATTAAGCTAGACTTTAAAGAAATTTACAAAAATGTAAAACAATGCTACTCTTCTTACTAAATTTATTTTTCATAAAAATGTTTATTTGTGATAAAATGTAATAGGTATACTACTGCTACTTTTAAATGAATCAATAAGCAAACTTTAAGAGCATGAAGGAGTCTCCAGACTGGAAAGTTTGGGAACCTAACTATAACCTCGTTACTACTCTGGGAAGTAGACAACTGGTTTAACCTCCTTTTTACAGACGAATGAGCAGCTTTGGCAAAGTTAAGTAACCTGCCCATGGTGACCAGAGCACCGGCCACAAGCCTGATTGCACAGGAGAAACACCTGGGAGCTGTAAAAATGCGCATTAATTGTTCTGGAGTGGAGCACACGCATCTTTTTTAAAGGTCCCAGTGATTCTCATGCGCAGTCCGGGTTAATAACCACTCTCCTAGAGATAAACAGGCAAATATGGTATATAATTAGGTTGCAAGTCTCCCAAACACCAATCTGACATGTAAGTCTCTGAAGTACATTTTATTTAATGTTGTAGACAATATCATTGTAGGTTATGAATCCACACAAAGATCAGGTAAAGTTTTTAAAAATTCTCCTGGATTTCATTTTACTTACAGGATTCTTGCTTTGCCACTCAACAGGACAGTTGTAATCTTGCATGACCCAGGGATGGTTCAATAGGTTTTTCACAGAAATCCGTTTCTTTGGGTCCACCTAGTGGCCATTGAGAAGTAGCTAGAGATTAGCATTCCAAACGAAGAACGCAAAACAACTCTTTTCCTTCTGAGAACTCAAAATTCATCAGAACAGATGTAAACTTTATCATCACAAAAATGCTGTCAAAGACCTTAAAATGGCCTTGGAATAAATTCTTTTAAAAAGGCAATAGAGGCAAGAAAACTATAGCAACCAACATAGGCTTAGAAGATGAATGTTTAACAAACACGAACTTCATTGGTATGGACATTATTCATGAAATTCAGTCAATCTATTGTATGATGTAATAGTCTTTTGCTGGAAAACCTATTCACAGGAAATATTCACCAATTTAATATTCAAACAGCCACAATGCAGGGCATTCATACTGAATATGCAATCTCTACCTCCCGAAGAGCTTACAATCACATAGTACAAGTTGAAAAGCGCACCTTTCTTTTCCATTTGTAATTTTCAAATGTGAAGAGAAGAAAATTAATCAACAAAGATTAAGGTTTTTTTGGCACTGAGAAGAAAGGATGAGGTGTTTTCAATCTCGTTATAGAGATTTGGTGGTCTGGCCCTACTTAATCAAGGTGGGTGAGCCTGAGGTAAATTTTGAATAAAACGTGGAGATGGCATTTAATAGATGGAAAAACTGGGAGATATTCTGAATACATAATAATGAAAAAAATTTGCACTAATAAGGTACTCAGTGTTTTCAAAGTCTTTCCTATTAATCTCACTTTATCCTCATGACAATACAGAGGAGCAGTGAAGCCAGGCCCACAATCGCCCTTTCATAGGTCAGAACTTGGGGAGGTGGCAGGCATGTTGACTGGCAGGGGGGGTGCCAGACCTCAGCATTCCTGATTTTCGTCTTGCACTCTCAGAGGCCATCCCACTGAATCGGTAGTCCTCACAGTGGGTCCCAGCAGCATCGGTGCTATCTGGGAGCTTGTCAGAAGTGCAAATTCTTAGTCTCGCCCCAGATCTATTGAGTCAGACACCCCTGGGTGGCACCCAGAAATCTGGGTTTTAACAGGCCCAGGGGGCAATTGCAACACATGCTAAAGTTTGAGAACCACTACACTAGATCATGAGGCCCACTCAATTGTACACGAGCTCATTCAAGCATCTATTAAGTATCTACAACCTACCTAATGTACAAGAGTTAGAGCAAGGAAACAGAAGATTATGGAGCAAGAGCTGGTTAGAGAAAATAAACAATATCCAAGAAAAGGAAAAAAAACCCATCAGCAAAGACAGGCAATAGAGGGCTAAAAGAAAATGCATTTGCAACGGAATTAAGAAAACACCTAGCAGAGGGTATTTGCACAGCAGACACATGAACGCAATTTTTTGAGCTAACAGATAAATGGTGCTGTCCTTCAAATACAGTACCACCACAGGCTCTTTGATGTCGGGTCGAATAGTTCTAACAGCCTCTTATTCGAAAATACTAAGTAACGAAGTTTACCTGTAGCATCTGTTGAAGAAGCAGAATGCTGCTGGGAGAGAGCCACTTAGGAACCTCGTATTTACCTCTCTAAAGAAAAAGAAAGGAAGAAAACATTTAAAAGAGTTAGGCTCAATCAGCCTTGACACAAATTTCTAAGGTAGCAACATGCTGGAGGTTTACTTCCAAGCTTGAAGACTTTACCCAGCTATAAAATTCAATAAACATTATTAATAACATAAGAAATCCATTTCTTGCCTTAAAGAAAAAAAATCCAGTTGATTAAATTCTATTACCACCTCTCAATGACCTACAGAGCAGAGGACTGGAGTACAGAGGCTGTGGAAAAACACGAAGGTTAAAGGGCTTTGGAATCCACAAGGTGCATTGTAATCGATTTTGTATTGTTGAAGCAAATTTTAGTTTATAATCTTGGAACGATTATCAGTTGACAAATAAGGTAGTAGAAGAGCATATTTGGTGACAGAACATAGGCTGTGAATTAGAAGAGATCACATGTCATCCACAAGGCAGAGTTCATGGTCACTGAGGGAAACCAGTGAAAGCCACCTTCTAAGGCAAGTACCTCTTTCAGGAATGGAACATTCAGTAATTATAATCACCACGTCATCAACTCAAAATAAGACCAGGGACTTGCTAAACACTAACACATGATAAAATACCTCTACACAACCCACCACGCACCCCTGTTTCTGACTCAGAGGAAATGATATAATCGTTAATTTCTCTTAGCGGAGAACAAATTGTTTAATGATGTCAAGATAACAGGTTAATTATTTGAGAAAAATTAAGATTGAATTCTAATTCACAGTGTACACCAAAATTAATTCCACCCAGATTAAAAAGTTAAATGCAAATACAAAACTGTAAGAGTACCTAAAGAAAGCAGAGATGATTATCTTTAGAATCTTTCTAGACATGACAGCAAAACCAAAAACTATGAAGTCTAACAGATTACAAAATAAAAAGCTGGCATTTCTGTACAGCAAAACCCATCACTAACAAGGTTAATGATCAGCAAATTGAGGAGAAAAAAAAATTTCTACCTAAATGATAAAAGATTACTATACTTCATCACATAAAATACTCTCACAAATCATCAAGATTTTACTAGCACCGAACCCGTTCTTCCCACATTTCCTCCCCCATCTCAGCAAATGGTAACTGCATTCATTACCAGTTAGTTGCTCAGACCCAATACCTTGGAGTCATCTTCAGCTCCTCTTTCTCTCACACTTCACACCCAATCCATCGGCAAAATCTATTGGTTCTACATTCAAAATATGTCCAGATTCACCTGTCACTGCCTCCACATCACTGAACTCTCTCATGTGGCACACTGCAAGAAGCTCCTAACTGGTCTTCCTGATTCCACCACTGTTCCCCCAACCGGCTCTCCACTTACCACCACCAATGTTCTTTAAACATGTGGCCTGGGAGCGCCTTTCCAGTTGCTAGATGGGACACTGCCCGATTCATGAATTGCTTAAAGCCAATTAGATCTTTAAAATAAAAAGGAGAGGGAAACCTGATCACGTCACTTTGATACCTGCCACTCTCCAATGGCTCCCCATCTCGCGCCCAATGAACTCTAAATTCCTTACCCTGGCTCTAATGCCTGGTCTGAACCCCCACATCTAGCCTGCTCCTTGCTACCTCTCGAATTCACCTCCAGACTCTCCCATAAGCCCCAGCTCCACCCAGATTAAACCTAAATCACACACAAGTCACAGTCCTGCCGGAGGGCCTCTGCACTCTTTGATCCTTCCACCTACAAAGCTTTCCCCAAATATCACCAGTGCCTTAATCTTAGGATTTGTACTTAAATACCAGTGGCATCAGTGAGGCCTCCCCTGGCCACCTTTATAAACAGCATCTCCTCCACTACCCCATCGTTTCGTGCCTACTTTTCTTTATAGTCCCATCCCCACTTGTCAAATGACATATTTATTTATTTCCTGCCTCACTACATTAGAATATAAGCTTCTTAATCACAGGGATTTTGTCTGTGCTGTTTACCTATACTATGTCTGGCCCTAGCATATAAAAGATGCTCAATTAATATTTGTTTAATAAGTGAAAAAATGAGGTTTTTTGAAAAGCATACATTTCAAAAGAAAATGGGCAAATAATCAAAGGTAATGCCCAAAACAAGAACTTTCAAATAGCCAATAAACATGAAAATGTTAAACTAATCTAGTAATTAAGAAGTAACTAATTTAAACAAAAATATGATACTATCTGTTGCCTATCAAACTGACAAACTTTCAAAATAATCACTATTGCCCTGGCTGCTATGGCTCAGTGGATTGAGTGCCGGCCTGAGAACCAAAGGGTTGCCTGTTCGATTCCCAGGCAGGGCACATGCCTGAGTTGCAGGCCAGGTCCCCAGTGGGGCAACTACACATTGATGTTTCTCTCCCTCTTCCTCCCTTCCCTTCTCTAAAAAGTAAATAAATAAAATCCCTCAAAAAAAATCACTAGAAGTAAGAGTTCAAGGACAAGAGTGCTATATACACAAGTGGAGAGTATAAACTTTTATGAAGAGTAATTTGGAAATGCATATGTATAAAAAGCATTTAAGATTGCATATCTTCCACCCAGCAATTTCACTTCTAGCAATTTATCCTCAGCAAATACTTTGGTATGCAAAACTTTATAAATAGTAACATTCAGCACAGAATGGTCTATGGTAACTTTGGGAACTAAGGAACACAGTCTGATATGGCAACTTCAGAGGGTGCACAAAACTAATGAAAGACAAAATTAACTGATAAAGACTCGGGTTAGAAACATAACTAGGCCCAGGGACACACGGCAAGCACAGACACACACAGGCCAACAGTAATGGAACGAGGCTAGAAGGGTGGAGGCGTGCAGGTGGAGGAGCCATGGACTAGCCCTGGCACTGGGGTTCTCTGCTCTTATGAACTGTCTGAAACATTAAGTCTTACCAGAAATCAGTCCCGCTTAAAGGTGAGGGGTGAGACAGACAGGTATGGATTTTGATTATGTTAAAAAATAATCAGTTTCAAAGAAGCCTTATCAAGCAATAAATTTAAAAACAGAAGGTGCTGATGTCAAAACAGCTCAAACTCTGACTCAACCTCTCTGATGAGAGCAGACAGGCTGACTCACAAAGTGTTTCCTAGGAAGCGCGAGAGCTTTCCTTTTATAAAAGCCATTCATCATTAAAATGTCCCTTCTCTCTTGTCTAAAGCACCCACTGGTACCCAGAAAACCCACCTGTATTTACACCTTGCCAGGGCACCTTAACACCTGCCAGTATCCGAAACTGACGAAGTTTGTTTCTGAATTATAATAATGAAGCCTCTTACTCATTTCTCCTTACTCTCCCCTCATCCATGGCCAACTGAACCCCAAGTTGATAGGCTCCGGGCCTATCCCCAGGAAGGGGGATTTTTAGATGCTAACTCTTTAGGACTCAGCAGTAAGTCACAGCTGCCTGGGTCCTGACCTAATTGGCCCCACTCCGCTATCTGAACTTTTCCTTATTCCTGAGACTAAGGCTTCTCATAATTCAAAACTTGAGTACCTGACTTGCTTTTTTCTTGGCCAACTGACCATCTGTCTGATACCTCAAAGATTTTACCTTGCTCTTGCCAGGGTTCCAGGGAAAGTAGAGACCAGCCTGGGGTGAGGATTCTCCTACCTGCTTACACTGATCTTACGCTGATGACCTACGCTGTGATCTCCAATCACAACCTGCTCCTATAGTGTCCTCTGTCAGAACCCCCACCCACTCCAACAGGTCTTCCTTCATGCTGACTGCACGAAGAGCCATTTGCTGCTTCCTCCAGGTATGACTTACACTGGGTTGAATGGTGTCCTCACCACCCCCACAATTCATGCCCACCCAGAACCCGTGAAGGCACTCTTATTTGGAAATAGGATCTTTTCAGATGCAATCGAGTTAAGATGAAATCACAGTGGGTTAGAGGGTGGACCACAGTGCTGGGCTAAGAACTTGATGTTAGCTTCTACTACTGCTGCTGTATCTACTACTATTACTGCTACTGTACTACCTGTAAAACGAGTAATGTCACTTATAGGTTTACAAAAGAAATAAAAGAATGTATGCAAAAGCACTCAGCACAATGCCTTGCACATAAGAGACAATAAATGTTTGTTCAATCTGAAATAAACAGGACAGTGCAGTAGGGATACTCAAAAAGCCATAGACTAAAGATGGGCATGTTGACCGAAAGCCATGCATGCCAGAGCACAAAATAATCAGTACAGTGGAAAAAAAAAAGCCAGTCATTCTGAGGAATGCCACACGTCCTCCTAATGGAGCTCTGTCTCACTGCAGTTGCCTCAGGACCTCAGGACTGCCTGGCAAGAAACACATAAACTAGTCACGTCCTGCCCCTGTCGCCTCCGGAACTGTGCCCACCCACTTCCTGTTTGGACGGAACCACTCTGGAGAGTGCCTTCCACAAGGCATGAGGCCTGTGACCCAGCGCCATGACCCACCTTCTCAGCTGCATTCTCGGCACCGAAATACTGGCAGAAATAAAGTATAGAGCAGAGTTCTGCTGCCAGGCTTAATCCCACATCTTATTTGTACACAGTACTTAAAATACACAGGGCATATGTATAAATATCTTTATCCTGTGCAGTAGGCAGGGATTATTAACCACATTACACAGATGAGGAAACTAGATCTCAGGGAAATCAAATGCTTGTTCAATATTATAATGCAACAGCTCTCAACTGGGGGTCGTTTTCTCCTCCAGGGGACATGAGGCAGTGTCTGGAGACATTTTTCATTGTCATGACTTGGTGGCTACTATGGGCAGAGGGGGCAGAGGCTAGAAATGCTGCTAACACCCCACTGTGCACAGGACAGCTCCCACCACCAAGAATTATCTAGTCCAAAAATGCCGACGGTGCCAAAGTTGAGAAACAGTGTTACAGAGCAAAATGGGGAGAGACAGGACTAGAGGGGAGAGAGGCCCAGTACTTTTTCTACGGTACTGCGCTGAAAGGTCTAAGGAAGCCGAGAAGTACGCAGAGAGAAAGGCTCCTTATTTAAATATTGAAAG